ATACACGAAAGCACCACCTGTAGAGCAGAAACTTTCTGCAAGAAAATTTTTTGCCACGCTTTCTCCATGGTATACTTACTGAAAATTTTGAAAGTTTCCTCTGTTTCATGCCGAAATTAATGAAACATGACAAAGTTGCCACTTGCGTTAAGTTTTCAAGAACGTAAAGAGTGGAAGTTCATAAAGCATGAAGCTGAAAAGATATTAAATGCTATTGTCAATGCAAGTTACCTGGCATGCTGCGTCAGCAAGAACAGAGTGGTTGAAAGAGGAACTCATGAAAGATGAACCACTTGACAGCTGCGAGTGTTCAAGAGGAGTTGGAGAGGACACAGGATCTGCTGGTGGCAGTTCTGGGGCTGCAACTTCATTAATCGACCACAGGTTTTCCTCCAGAACTCCTCCATCAGTTTGGGTTGCCATTGCTTGTGCTACTGCAGGTAATTTTGAGGCAGGGATATCATCAGAGGCCCGCACAAGTTCAGCTTGACTTTCATGACTGGAAATTGGCTCAAGGTTCTTGCGTGCATTCGTATCCCAATTGACATCCTTGAGCTCACTTAGTATTTGGCGCTTTCGAAAGGCAGACCTTAGCTCCTGAGAATGGGCTTGCACTCGATCTGGCTGGCAATCAAAAATATGGGGAACAACACCTTTCTTCAATTTCAGTCGGAAATTATCTTTGCCCGCCGCATTTAAGATATTAAACCTTGTCCAGTCTTCCACATCCTCTTCAAGCTGTCAACAAAACAGAGATACATCCCATTAAATTTTTCCCTAATACAATAGTTAACAATAAAAGTTTATTGCATGGTTTTCAGTGATAAAATAGCTGTACTGTAGCCTTACTTCTTTAAAACATGATATTCTGAATAGTTTAACCATTAGATTGTTCAATGGATTGATAACCACACACCGAAATACCCTACAAAATTTCAGGCATTCAGGTTGGGTGGTTCTATTGTAGTGTAGCAAGGATGACTTGTGATTTAGGATTTACTGAATTTTCTAGAAGTTACCGTAAGGCGCAGGCGTAATTCAAAGATAGAAAAGGCAAGCGCATCAGTTCTGAGAGATCAAGTACTTACAAAGCCTTGGTCTTTGTCTTTCCTGTTCAGAAGTGAAAGGAGTCATAATTGAGAAAATACTCAGCACAAAGATGGAAATTAAGTAAACTGAGTTGAAGAAACAAGTACATTAACTTACTATGAAATGGTCTCCACAGCACCAAAGTTTGCTTGTTTGAGACACTTTATCTCGACGCACGATTTTGCACCATTTGTCTCGGATCGGCCCGTTGGGTAGACGGAAGAAAAGCTTCTCAGGAGTTGAGATTTTCGTGTTGCAACATTGCGGAACGAAACAATATGGCCTAGACATTCTTTTTCGATAAGCTCAAACAAGAACACAGCACTGTGATTAGGATAATAGGATAGCGAAAACTTATAACAACAAACAACAAGTCACTGAGGTTAGGTGTGATGTTGTGATTCTTGGTCACCGGCGCCAAGCACTCGAGCTCTGATTGGCTACGACCATGTACGACGCACGAACGCTGCCGAAGTAGTCCGGGCGCACCCGAATCCGACGGACCGCACGGCTCCCGGCGCCCGGCGGCGACGGAAGATACGCGAAAAGCTCTATTTTAAGTCCCTTTTTCACTAAGAAGTCATGATGGAGAACCTTCAAAAAAATTTAATGTGAGAAATCACATCCCGAAATTTACATCGACGCAAAGAAATCTAGTCTAGACAAAAAAAATCGATTTTTCGCGATTTTTTAAAAAGACCGTATTTACACGTATTTGATACAGGGAGAACCTGGCTGTATACCATGCTACGTCACGAAGTCCGAAGCGCGGGAAAAAAGCCGTTTCAAATCGCTTTTGACTTTGGGGAGCTTTTTCTCTAAGTTCCGGTGACCGGAAAATTTTTTAAAAAATACTCTCATACTCAGTAGACCTCAAACTTTTAGAAACTGAATTAAAAAAATTTCATGCAACTACCCCATTAGACCCGGCTTGAAGTTTCTAGGAGTAGTCGCGAGAAAAAGATTTTTTCTGACATAATTTTCGTCCAACTACCACTTTTTAAACGTGCGCCTTTTAGGTAGCTTGAGAGAACATTAAACATGTTTCTGATATTTGTCCCTCTTTATAATGATTTTTAATTTGGACACTTCAAAGCATATTTTGAGTAGACTGAAACTTGACTTCTCTGAAATTTTAAAAATGAAAGACACTTCATCGCACGTTGATGACGGTTTAGAGATACATCTAATCGTGCTTGATAGATTTCCGCATTGCACCTGCAAAATTAAAGACGCGATGGCATGAAAGGTTATCTTGCAATGCTCCGCTCTTTATGTTGATGGTGAGGTGTCGCTCAAATGCGAGAGAGAAGTTGAAAAACAAAGCCGTATTAATTATTACTTAGCTTTGGCTGTGTTGCTCACGTGACCCTTAGTTGAAACACCACTACATATCAGCCAACAAAAACGGCACCAACACAACATCAGATAGAGCAAGAGAAAGGACTCGCGCTGATGACGGCGCAGAGATGCAGCTATTCGTGCTTGATGGATGTGCGCGTTGTATCAGTAAAATTGAAGGCGCTAGCCACACCACTGACGATACGCAATGGATTGCAGACGATGCTAATGTTCTCAACGTCACTTTTGTGCGATTTTGTGCAGAAAAAGTTCACTGTGTCAACTATGTCTCGTCGACAACAGCGGGTTATTAATCGAAATCGACTGACAAAGCTGTGTGCAAAGAGGACGACGGAAAAATGGAGCGATCCTATTGGTAGTAGAGATAACCAACTGATGACAACCCGCGAGGAATCCTACATTAAGTCCATCATTTTCCCCTATAGTCTATCACAACCACTCGTTTCAACCAATAGGGTCGCTTCATTTACCCTCTGTCTTCTTTGTTGATTGCTTTATCTATCGCTCTACCAATTTCAATAATCAGCCCAGAGAGTCATTCAAGCGTGAAGGAAGGATTCTGTAACGAGCTGAATTGAAGCGCTGGCTGCAAAAAGGGCATTTCTTGTTTGCGGTGTCTCAAAATCTCTACTAACGTTTACTCGACGTTTCATCCGTTATTATTAAAGCAAATTTATATTACTTTCCTGAATATTTTTTTATGATTTTACAATGCTGCCACACATAAAATTTCAAAAAATTATTCCAATTATTTCTTCTCTAAAGGGATACATTAGCACACTGGAGATTCTGAAAAACAGCAACCGAGAAATGCCTATTCTGCACCTGAAGCAAACGCCTCAATTCTGCCGTGCTAGGAGAACGTCGTATGAACATTCGAGAGTTGTCAAATTTTCTCGGATAAAATATGGGTTTTGGAGGAAATTTATGCATATTTTTCCTTGAAATTTTCAGATAATTTAGATTAAATTGCGTACGAAATTGCCCGATTGAAATTCATATATTTTCATGAAAAATCGTATTTTATTTAAAGAGATCTGGCCTGAATGCTTATACGGCGTTTTTCCTTAGCACAGAAGAATTGACTCACTCTCACCTGTAACGATATCTGACATATCCACGCGGGCGAACGGAACTCCCCTGCGAAAATATAGGGATCTTACTGTGCATCGGAATAAGCTACCTTTGGAGGGCGGCGGCTCAATTCTTGAGCATTTGGGTTGGATGAAGTAGGGGTTCCTGCTTACTGGATGACTCAAAAACCGCTTCAAGACTGTTTCACAGTAGAGATTTGCGTCCTCGAGTGATTCCAGCGGTGGATCTTCTGGTAACTTATGGCACGGAACGCGAACAACATCACACTGAAGAAAGAGGATTTATTGTAAGCGTCTGCGTGCTTATCATTGAAATGAATACACCGAAAAGAAAATCGATGCTGCCTTAACATTCTGGATGTTAACAAGTGTGCGAAAACTCACAAAGCGCTGATTTAACCGCCACAGCAGTTACAATAGCAATGTCAAGATGTAAAGCTAACTGCTGTGGTGGTTAACTCAGCGTTTTGTGAATTTTCGCACACATTTATACGTCCAGAATGGTAAGCCAGCACCTTTTTTTCGAATTGCATAAAGTTATAGATAGAGAATACAAAGGGGAAAATGGAGACATCTTCTATGGACCCCGTTTAGCAGAAAAGAATCAAGCCACATCCGCTATGGCCTTTTATTGGGAGATTCAATTTTTTACATAGATCGCCTGTGCGGAGTTTTGTTCAAGTTTCAATAAATTGTCTGCATAGCACGAAGCAAATCCCTTGAAATTTTTGATGGAATCTGCACAAACGTTCTCTTGTAAATAACTAAATCGCCCACTTAAATTTAGACATTGCTGATGTGGCTTGGTTCCTTTCTGTAAAACGCGATTCAATTGTTACTCTCCTTCATCGGGGGGTCAAACTCAAAAATTTGATTCTAATCGGAATTTTTGAACTTTTTGGCCTTGTATTCCCTGCAAAACAGTGTGAACCTCGCACTATTTTACCACCTTGCTATTTGAAGAAAACTCAATCCAAACAGACAAAATCTTGTAAACTTTTTCTCTCGGATAATTTAAATTTTTTCAAGCGTTTGTTTCCTGTTCTGGGGGCGGGGGGGATGCTCACAAAAACTTCAGTTTTACATGAAGAGATGTCAGGAAGTGAGAAAGAGCATGCGCCGCACGATAGATCGAGTCGATTAGAGACGTCGTACATGAAATTTTTGACTAAAGCTAATTTAGATGTTAATTTCGCAAGAAGAAAATTTCGCGAGGGAACCAATGGAACCGCTTAAAGAACCTCGAAGTTTTGTACGAACGGAGTGATAAGCGTGTAAAGTTTCCAAATTTTGTCCAACCTCTCGTATTGACTCGATCCTTTTTGCGCCGTGAATTTGAAAGGGCGCGATACATCGATACAAACTTCACAAAATTTAGTCAAATTGTGTAATGAAGAGTGAATTTTAGACATTTTTGACGTGCTCAACTCGATCTTGTTTTGATTTTGCATGTGAAAATCGACTCACTTGACCGTAAATATATTCTCTTGTCGTTACTCGCACGAAGGAACGTAACTTAATTTCAATGTAGCAAAATTGTCTCCATTATTTCAATTTTTAACGACAAGAAACTTGCATGAATTTTGCCGAAAATGTGTCTGATTTTTGCATGAGACCAGAGGAAAAATTTGTAAATTTTCAATCAGAAATTCTCAAAATTCTCCTGGTAAAAATTGAAAAAATCTGGCGACATTGAAATTTAGTTATTACTTTAGTTATAGTACTTTCGTGAAAGCAACGACATTGTGTGCAAAAGACCTATTCTGCGTTTTGTTTAAAAAGTTACTGGCTTAAAAAGTGTAGTCATTTACGAGATACAAGTTTATCGAAGCTAGCAAAAAAGATTTTACCGAGACTGTGTATGATGCGAGCACGAAAGAGGTGAGTCGAAAGAAGCTGTCAGATATCATGGCAATAATTGCGTTTCCTTGAGATCGCACCGAGTTTAGAACTAGAACTGGAAAATCACTTTAGAATTAGAACTTTATACATTTTGATAGAAAAAGCACTATTATTATCCAAACCACACACTACGGCAAAAAGGAACTACGATTGTGATACCCATCGCTACAATCGAGGATCTTTAACAAGAGTGTGTACCAAACCTGTCGGCAAAGTCCCATCAGAATGAGTCTCGATTAACATACCTTCGCGCTTTTTAGTTGATGATTGTTGGCCAGCGCAAAGATGCGTGGGTAAGGGTCGCAGCGGTAAATTACTACTTGGAGTGAAAAATGGCAAAAAAATTTCCGCTGAAATTTCCATGATGCTCTTAATTCAATGGGATTTTTTTTTTATTTCCGTTCCAGGATCGCAGGCGTCAATTACACGTTTTCAAGAACAAAAATGTGATGCAGAGGATTTTGGGAAAAACTGAGTTCATGCTGAACATTTTCACTCCATTCACTGAAGGATTAATTGGAATGTTGTGAAACAGTGCTAAAAAGTAGTACTTCTCCTTTTTCAACCCCATGTGAAATGCACACACTTTATCGCACAAGTGAGTGCCAACCTTGATTGATTGGATCGAAACATCTATCATTACAACTTGCTTTCGATGACGCGGTGGCGCTACAATTTGGCGCTCGTTTAGCGATAAAGCGCATACCTCGAAAAATACACGATGTCACCAAATTAGTTTAAAACTAATTATTTTTTTGCATAGGCAGATCCAGATGGGCCTCCTCCAAAAATTTTTGAAGCATCTAATATGCAGTTTGAGTCAATTTTATCATGAATAATTCTCAAATGTAAGCGTCTTTCTTTCTTTTTCCCTCCGTTTCTTCCTTCTTTTTTCTTCCTCCTTTTTTTGGGCGAACGGAGGGAGAGCGCACGCCCCCTGCGCCCCCCTTAATCCGCCTGGAACGGTTACACCGATTTTTTAAAATTATGTATTTTAGGGAATTTAATACTTCAGAAAAT